GGGGGAAAGTAAGAAAATAAAAGCAAAGCAAAGAAGTATCCTTTTAAAGTTCAAACAAAGTAGGTGTCCCTTGAGAATTTGGGTGTTATATTCTTTTTTTAATAAACTTTGAATCTTTCGTTAATTTCCATTTAATTCAGTCTTCTTGTTATAATCACTTTCTGTTGTTTACAAGCGAGTACTCTAAAAAAACAAAGCGTTTTTTTAGTTTGTTAAAACTTTTTTCTTACGTTACGCACATAAATTATATTTTTCCTTACATCTTATTTTTGTTTGGTACTAATGGTCAGTCAAAGTTTTGTTTTTCGTTTCGTTCACATCTACAATTTCAAAGGCATTCACATTTTCTATCAGCTCAATATAATAGATAGTAGTATAATATTTGATTTCAATGCCTTTATTTTTGTGAGGTAGTTTCTGTTAAAAAAATAAACAGTCAGGCTTTAACAGTAAAAGATAAAAGTAACAAAAAAAAAGGTTGTTCAAATGGCGTATTCACATGGCAGTTTGTTCATTGACTTCTCATTTTTTCTTTATTGACTTCAAAAACTTAATTAAATCGAAGATATATATATATATATTGGGAAATTCAAAACCTAACAAAAGGTGAGTACAAAGACTTAAGGACAAGGAAAACCAAGCTGTCACAACCTAATTAACAATTGTATGATGATTATAACTTATAAGTAAAAGCAAGACTAAGATTTCAAAAGTTAATTAATGTTTGTAACTGTTAGGACGAGATTCCAAAGTGACGAATCTTTTAATGGGTTTTGTATAAATATATCAACACATTACATAATGACTACGTAATTTGGGCTAAAAATATAGTTTGATGATGTATAATGTTATCATATTTACTCGTTATAGCCTTAGTTGTCGCTATATGTTTAAACTATTGCGAAGAAAGAAAAAATACGTGAACTTACCGATGATCTAGGAAATTAGATTGTGAATCATTAATAATCTTCAAGTTATATATTAGATGACCTAAACTTAACTATTAAATTTGGATGATGAACACATTATTATAAAATTAGCTACATATAGAATTGCTTTGCTTGTTTGTTGATTCCATGTTTTTATATTTTTTTGTCATAGAATCATGTTTATAGATGTAGCAAGTTGTTCAAAGAATAATTTGTAATCTAATCTGGTTATTTAAAAAAAAAATATTTACAATTTATCAAAAACAAAATGCTTTGCCAAAGATGTATGTACTCAATTTTGTAAATGATTTAAAGTTGTATGATTTATTTCATAATAAATAACCAATTAAATCATGGATGAATCTAAATAACATATTAATTTCTTCCCAAAAAGATTTTAAGTGGATAACTTTTTTTTATTGATAACTAATATTTATAAGAATCTCCTTTACATTGAAAAAGATTTGGTTTATTTTTGATAGAGTCTTAACTCTTTAACTATTAATGACTA